GAAATTGCATTAACTGCAGTAAGCAAGGGCACTCTCCCACTGCTGTTGGGGTTGATAACTCAACCATAGTAACCCCCTGTTTGACTTTGAAAGCTGTAAATCTTGAGTAGAGAGAAAAGTGCCAGTTTTCTCTTGCTGAGCAGCTGCTAAATTCAAACCACCAAACTTTCGGTTAGCAGTGAAACATGTAGTCCCAGAGCTCAAGGTGGATGAATTCTACCTTCATTGCTAAGAATCAGCATGCATACTTTCTTTAGTTTGGTTTTAGTCTTTATTCCTGAACAGAATTCAAGTTGCTCATTTCTTTACCTTGCTTGGTTCCGCGCCCCTCCCCCCTTCCTTGCCTTGCCTTGTCTATCTTGTTTTCTGTGTTTTAGTCATCTCATTTCTGAGCATTTCTATCCCATGGGCCCCAAAAGAAAAAATTGTCTGGGAGAAAGTACAACCAAATTAGTTCTTGGAAACGATAGCAGAGTGCTGTCTCACATATTTTTGGCATTTTATTTTGAGGGGCCAATGCTTGGAAGGGTAGAGGGTCAGTGAAAGAGGGGAAGACCCTCAATAAAATGAATTGACACAGTGACTGTGGGCTTGACAATATGAGAGATGATGAGGATGTCACAGGAAAGGACAAGGTGCAGCTCACTGTGCTGTGAGTCTTAGTTGACTTGATGCTTAACAACTGAGCTCTGGTGGCATAGTTTATAGGGAGTTGTGCTAAACCCCAAAGTTGGTACCTATTTTGGTGGTTCGAATTCACTCGTACCTCTGAAAGCAGTTTTCCCTCGTGTATTTTACAGTAAATGGAAACCCACTGGAGGGTCAGTCATGAATCTATTCTTACTGGGCAGCAATGAGTAGCTTAGAGTTGTTGTTGTTAAGTGCCGTTGAGTCGCAGGCGACTCATAGGGACCCTGTGAATGAAAGTCCTCAACGCTTGGGTGTCTCTCATCCTCTGTCCAGGTTCATAGGGTTTCCTGAGGCAAGCTATTACTGAAGTGGATGCCATTTCTCCTTCCAAGCTTGTTTTAATCAGGGAGCTCCACCTCACTCTCTGTCCGCATTGGGTAACCAGCCAGTAACGCATTTGACACACATCAGTGTCACAGTGTTCAGCCTCACAAGCAACCGCAAGTTACCACTGTATGGCAACTTGTACACCAGGGCTGTATGACCTAGAGGAATGTCTGAACAAAACAATGAAAGACAGGCCCGAGGGTTGTAGATTAAAAGTCACCCACCTTCGGCTTGGTAGCATCGCCTTCTGTCCACTGGGCCAGCTGATCTCTCTCTCTATTTTGATGAGCAGCTTAGAGTAGTAGTTTAATATGAAGTCGTGTTGTTGCTAGGTACTGTCAAGTCATTTAGGACTCATAGCCACCCTATGAACAACAGATTTTTGGAACCTTTCTCTATCCTGGACCATTCTGACAACCTGTTCCATAGTTCTCATATATCTCATGGGTGTTCTTTCTCTGGCCTACCTTTTTTAACCCTTCTGGGTTTTGGGTGTTTTTTTTTTTGTTTTTTTTTTTTTTATCCTGAGACTCCTGCAAATGAGATGTTTTTCCTAACTTTTAAGAGGAACTTCTGTGTTAAGTGGCTGTATCCCAGGATAACTTTCTTAGCTTCATCTTCTTTTCTCTCATGATGTATTGAAAATAGTCTCTCTAGGCAGCCACTTGTGTAGTTCTTTTTGAGAATTGTCTCTTGGACCCCTACTTTGACTTTCTCTTACACTTGTGTTGTCTCATCTCAATTGCTCATAGCTGACCATACAACATGTTTTCGGAAGCTGTTTATTGCACAGGAAGAGTGCTCTTCTTTTCCCCCTCATAGTCACTGGATTCTAACTGCCACAGAGCCTTACACTCCGCTGAATTAGAATTTTATTCTGCTTTCCTGGAAGGTAGTCTTACTGGATATTTCCAAGAATCTTTAGAGTTTAGGTATATCCAGAATTTCTGCTGTCATTGCAAAACCTATAGTTGGACCAGGAGACAGTCATCAGAACAAGGCAAGGAAACACCGCATGGTTCAAAATTGGGAAGTGTGCATCAAGGATGTGTCCTATGTCTGTATCTTTACTGTATATATGCAGAACCAGGTCATCTGGGAGGCTGGACTCTATGAGAAGTGTGGCAACAGGATTGGAGGTAGACTCATCAACAATCTGGGTTATGCAGATGATACAACCCTGCTTGCTGAAACTGAGGAGGACCTGAAGCGCTTGCTGCAGATGGTCAAGGACTGCAGTCTTCAATATGGATTGAAGGTAAACATCAAGAAAACGAAGATTCTCAATGCTGGGCCAATTGGCAGCATCATGATAGATGATGAAGAAATTGAGATTGTTGACAGCTTTCATTTGCCTGGCTCTACAATCAACACTCTTGGTATCAGCAGCCCGGAAATGAAAAGATTAATTGCATTGGGAAAATCTGTCAGAAACGTCTCTAAGGTACTAAAGAGCAACGTTGTCAGTCTGGAGACTAAGGTGCGCCTGATATAGGCCATAGTCTTTGCAATTACTTGCTATTCATCAGAGAGCTGGACAGTGAATAGGAATGATAGAAGGAGAGTTGATGTCTTTGAGCTGTGGTGGTGAAGAGTATGAATATACCATGGACTGCTAGGAGAACAACAAGTTTGTCCTGGAAAGGGTGAAGCCAGGCTGCTTTGAGGCAAGGATTCTGAAGCTTCGTCTGACATACTTTGGACATGTTGCAAGGAGGGACCAGTCCATGCAGAGGGACATCTTGCTTTGGAGGGTGGAGGGACAGCGCAAGAGAGGAAGACCCTCAATGAGATGGATTGATTCAGTCACTGGGGTAATGGAGGTAGGTGTGTTGGAGACAATAAGATTGGCAAGGGATAGAGCAGGGTTTAGACTGTTGTACGTAGGGTTGCTATGAGTCACAGGCGACTCCACGGCATATAACAACAACAAATCCCTTTTCCTGTTGCTGCCATTGTTCTGAGATTTACTTGTTGACTTTCCCATTCCATGTGGCTAAGTATTCCTTTTGGGGCAAGTGCTTATATGGTGTGCTTGAGCACTCCAAGTGTCAACATTGCAGGACACTCATTTTTCCTTTGTTACAGGACCCTCTGGTGACTGTTGCCTCTCTGGTGTTTGTTGCATTTGACAACTTGATTTTACCTGCTTGCATTCTGGGGTTTGTAATGATCCCTGATTTGTGTTAAAGAAGAAGTTCTTGAATGAAATTTGGGGAAATGACAAAACTAAGTGCTGAATTAACTAATAATTAAAACCTCCTTGAAGCAGACTTAGAGTTTACTGTAATTTGTTTTTCTGTTTTACAGACCCATTAAATTTGCCTAGGCAGTCTGTTGTTATGTGCCTTTGAGTTAGACCTAATTCAAAAGTGACCCTCCAGCAGATTTGCAGAGCTAAAAATCACACAGGAGGAGAGCACCGATCTTTCTACCAAGAAGCAGCTAGTGCATTCAAACTGTCTTTGGGTTGACAACATAATTCTTTACCCACTAGGCCACCAGAACTCCTCTAAGAACTCTAGAATAAATTATTGCAATTTAAAAAGATGAAGAGCTTAGATAGGATAATGATTAAAGTATTCGGCTCCTAACCAGAATTTAAGCAGTTCAAACTATAGCTACTCCAAGAGAGAAAAGTGGGACCCTCTGCTAGCATAAAGATTTACAGCTTTGGAAGTGCTATGGGAACAGTTCTATTTAGCCCTGCAGTATTGCTTTATGTTGGAATTTGAATAGCAGTGGGTTATTTAGAATATATATAATAATAATTTGAAATAGCACAGACTATAATCAACTGCTTTAAAACATTTTTAGTAAATCACTTTTTGTGTGTGGTGTGCCAAGCCAGATTTTTATGCAGTTATAAAACCGTGGAAAGAGAATTCTTTTACCCTCCTGATTTTATTTCACCATTGGCATATATCAACCTCTGTCTTGTTGCTTTTGACCTTCATGTTATATTGTAGCCAAGATTTGTCCCATGCCATTCAGTTTCCAAATTAAATGAAGATTTATTTGCTATCAATGGCCAGATGTATTGTTTCTAAACATTGTATGTAGGACTTTTAGTTGCTGGTATCTCCAGAAAGAATATTGGTTTTAATAGTAATATTCTATTCTATTCTGTGACATAAACATCCTAAGTGTTTAACATTATTTATGTCTTTAGTAGAAAAGCAGTGATGATAATGCAAATGTAAGCCAGCCTAGACTCCAGCTTATGGAATAGTTAAATGGCTTGTTTATGGCTGATTAAGTCCATGAAGGCAGAGTTATTTGAACATGTTGTTGACTCTGACTCAACAACTCTATACATCTGAATAAAACCTGTCCAATCCTGTGCCATCCTCACAACCTCAGGTGTGCTTAAGCTCGTTGTTGCAGTGACTGTGTCACATCCATCTCATCAAGTCTTTTCTTGCACTGGCCTTTCCTGACAATATGCCCAAAGTTCATGAAGGGGAAAGTTGAATAGTTAAGCTTTTCTTTTAGACTTAAAATGGTTGTATATTGTTGTTAGTAGCCCTTTCGTTGCTTACAACTCATGGTAACCTTATAACAGAAAGAAATAGTTCATGTGGCTGCCCTTCCTCTTTCTTTGACTTAATTGGGTAACAGCAAGTTGATTAAAGTAGAAAACTGGAAAACTCATACTTAATATCAAGGCTTAAATTGCTATCTATAACTTTTCCTACGCAGTTTGTGTAACTGTACAAAGTTCAAACACACCATGAGCACCTCATGCCAACAGGTCTTATTGCACAGATTGGTGTGAGAAGAACACATGCTAAAGAAGCCTGCCTTTGAAGTGCCTTAGTTGTGGGACTCAAGCTCAAAGATACTGAGTCACCTGGAAGATGAATGTGACAAATGTTAATTAGCATTTAGGTCAAGATCTTCTGTAATAATATTATAATTTGTACATATAGAAATGCATGCTTTTGAGATTATCCATTATATGTATGTATGTGTGAATACAGAAAACATCGGAGCAATGTGGGGCCCAGCAAACCAGTTTCCCAGCCCCGGCGAAACATCGTCGGCTGCAGAATTCAGCATGGGTGGAAAGAAGGGAATGGACCCGTTACACAGTGGAAAGGAACAGTTCTGGATCAGGTTCCTGTAAATCCTTCATTGTATCTTATAAAATACGATGGATTTGACTGTGTCTATGGACTAGAACTTAATAAAGATGAAAGAGTTTCTGCACTTGAAGTCCTCCCTGATAGAGTTGGTAAGTTGTTTTCACTATTTATGCAGATTATGCTTTAAAAGTCTTTATTGAACTGGATGTTTATCATTTTTTGACATTCATATTTTTATGCAAACATTCCATTGAAATTATCCACCTGCAAATTTACATAAATTGACATAAATACTTAAAAACCACAGGTCAGGTAACTGATGTACATAAAGATGTGTAAAATTGGCCCCCAAAGGAATATAAACGGTAAATATATTTTAAAATTCTCAATATAGTTGTTTCTAGAATTTTTGCTAACTATTTGGACTTTGATGGGTAAGAATATATCATTAGCTCAGAGATACTGTGTTGAATAAATCAGGTCCTAATATATTAAAAACTATGCCATTATTTTTTAATTTGTAAAGTGTTTATTTTGTTATATATTACATAAATTATAATATCCAGCAGATTTGCTTTACTTTGAGCCAAATCTTAAGCAACCAAAACACACTTGTTTTATTATACATTTCTTAGGGTTTGCACAATGCTTGTTAATGAATGCCTTATTTTTACATAATATAATATTCACTTTTCTTCCTAAATGTTTCATAAGACGTAAGGTGAAACTTTTAGCACCTATCTTATTTTTAAATTATATAGAATACAACCAAGTTGATGTCGTTTTTCTCCCCGAAGGAATTTCTTTTTAAAGGTTTGTTAGTACAGTGATGTGGCTGTTACTACATTCTCTTAAAATAGTGCTTTTTGCTTCTAGAACATTTTTATTTTTAAAGTTTCAGTATGTCTAGACTCTGATGGAAAACTGGATATCATAAAAAAATTTTTTCTGCTTTTAAAATGGACTTTGGGAGCCATAGTTTAGGAGAAAAACTAAATTTAAATTTTTTTTTTTTTTATGGACATTCTGTAATGTTCTTAGAACACATAGTTGCCCTGTAAGCTAACACTGTGGTAGCATCGGATTACTTCTTAATCTTTTCCTTTAGAAGCGCTGGCAGCCTTGGTAAGAAGTTGAGCTGCAGTCCCAAAGTCAGGCAGTTCAGATCTGACAGCTGCTCCGTGGGAGAAGAATGGGAAGTCTTCTCCTGTGCCATTTACGGCCTCTGAAAACCAGCTGGAGGGTCAGCTCTGAGTTGGTCCTGACTCAATGGCACACAACAACAATATAAACATAGCTTAATATTCCACCAAAAACTTTAAATTTAAATTTTATCCTCAAAGGTAACTAATGGTAGAGTGTAAATGTGGATATTTTCACTTAATCTAAGCATTTCTGGACAGCTCATTCTTCACCAGAACAATTGGCATGAACAAACAGCACATCCCACAAAGAGCCTTTATTTAGAAGAAAGAAGAGAGCTGTCCTTAGTTTGTTTCAAATTATAATGATGTGGGATAGTTGTTCGCTTTATGATGCTGAAGAGGACTGTTAAGTTAATTAACTTCAGAGGATGTGATAGCTTAGAATAACAGTGCCCAGAACCAAATCTGGGAATCCTGAGAAGGCATGTGATGGCGTAGAGAATAGTGCCCACATGAAGGCTGGCATGTGATAGCGTATAGTGCCATAGAAGATAGAACCTCATTTAGGTGACCATGAAGTAAAAACTTTTTAAAATATTATTTTGTAATTTATCAATACATTACGTGGACACATTTTAGGTTGTTCTAGTAAGTTTAGTCTTCATAATAACTATTCATGGAAATAATTTATCACCAATGGGTTTTCCTCCCCCCCCAATTTCCAGCAACATCTCGAATCAGTGACGCACACTTAGCAGACACAATGATTGGCAAAGCTGTGGAACATATGTTTGAGACGGAGGATGGTTCTAAAGATGAATGGAGGGGAATGGTCTTAGCACGCGCACCTATAATGAACACATGGTTTTACATTACCTATGAGAAAGATCCTGTCTTATACATGTACCAGCTTTTAGATGACTATAAAGAAGGCGATCTTCGCATCATGCCTGATTCTAGTAAGTAGATATTAGCAACTTCCCATTTTAATTAAAAGGAATGTAGATGATAGGATATTTGATAAACTTTTATTTATTTTAATTATTGGGGATATATGATTATTGATTTTTAGTCAGGGGTGGTCAAAATTTTCTTCTCTTGCAAAAATTGTAGATAAGAAAATGTTTGATAATCCATAGATACTTCTGTGATAATCTAGAGCTTGATTATTTCAGACTGATTACTTTTTAGTATATGTATTTAAAGCTTCCCATTCATGTGATTTGTCCTACATAATCATGACTAATAGTACAAATGTATTTAACGTATTTGTTAAGAGTATTGCCAGCCTGGAAGCAACAATTTATATAGGATTCAGTGTCTTTATATTTTAATTCTTGTGGATCATTTACTCCAGAATTTTACTTTCATGTTTACTCCTTAATGTTACTATTTATTATTTAAAACTGTATGAACATATGTGATTATTAAAATAAATCTCTATGTACCTTTCTCCTCTTTAACAATTCATTTGATGTTAACTCCAAATATTTTATCATTTCCATCTATGTGAAATTGAACTGTACTTTAGAAAATACAGATTCCAGAAAACCACTAATTGGGAACCTTTGAATGAGATTTTAGGGTCATTGTTTAGACAGACTATTTGAGCCCCTCAGCCATTTATCTTTCTTCTTTATTTAAGCTGGTGTGTGTGTGTGTGTTGGGGGAAGTGGTTTGGAAATTGATTTCACCTTAGAAAAACTTGAGATTGATGTGAAAAGCTCATTGAAATGGTTAAGTTGTTTGTGTTTGAGTTGCAGTCCTATTGTTAATGTAGGCTACTGTTAGAGAGTTGGACGATGACTCGGGAGGATAGAAGGAGAATTGATGCCTTTGAGCTTTGGTGTTGGAGAAGAGTATTGAGGGTACCATGGACTGCTAAGAAAACAAACAGATTCATCCTGGAAAGGGTTAAACTGGGATGCTCCTTGGAGGCAAGGATTCTGAGGCTTCATCTGACATACTTTGGACATGTTGTAAGGAGAGACTGGTCCTTGGAGAAGAGCATTGTGCTTGGGAGGGTGGAGGGCAGGCACAGGAGGGGAAGGCCCTCTAGGAGATGGATTGATTCAGTGACTAGGGTAATCGGAATGAGTGTGTCAGAGACAGTGAGATTGGCACAGGACAGAGTTTAGGGTTGTTGTACATAGGGTCGCTATGAGTTGTAAGCAACTCGACAGCACATAACAACAACAACTATATTCCCTTGGGTCTGCAGGTGTGATCATATATTTGGAATTCCTTTGCTAATGGTAAACTGTCATAAGAGTGGCAGTGTAAAGACTTCTCCTTGACTTTTCTGTTTAATGGAACTAATAGCATTACGCTCCTGTGTTCTGTTGCTGGATATTGTCACTCAGTTGGAAAAGTTACTTACTTGTCATTGAGTAGGCATACCACTCAACTTTTCCTCAAAGATTCAGTTATAATTGTGGTGGAGTTCAACTAACTCCTATTTTGAAGCATCACAGTTCTTTTATATTTTGAAACCTGTTAGGGAGATGGTGTAGCATGTTGTGAAATCTAAATGTTTGTTTTCTGGTCCTTTAAATCAAGGTTTTCCAAATCTTGGAGTAGATAATCTAGAATGAATCCGTGTTAAAAAAAATAATATTTAAATAGACACATGAGTTGGTGCATATCAATAAGCTGATTTTATTTCCCCCCTTTTAAATACAGATGATTCCCCTCCAGCAGAAAGGGAGCCTGGAGAAGTTGTGGACAGCCTTGTAGGCAAACAAGTGGAATATGCCAAAGAAGATGGCTCCAAAAGGACTGGCATGGTCATTCATCAAGTAGAAGCCAAACCATCTGTCTATTTCATCAAGTTTGATGATGATTTCCATATTTATGTCTACGATTTGGTGAAAACATCCTAGATGGCATCTCGAACTTTGCCAAATTTGTGGAACTATTAAATGTATAATTTGTAGACATAAAGACTTACTTGCTTTCCACTTTAATGAAAGCTTAAATGTTCCTGCGAACCCACAATCTCTGCCAGCAAACTGTTTTGTTCTGAATAGTACAGATTTATGTGAACACAAAGCATTTTCTGTAAGGAACTCCTTCCTCTTAAAAAGAAGTCTATTTCATTGAAGAGGAATGACAGGCAAATTTGGTAAAAGTTAAGCTAATACCATAGTCATAAAAAACTGTAATAGATCTTAACCATTTCCCCTTTCACCGTAATTCTCTTATCTGCTGCCACAATGCAAGTGTACTTTGGTAAATTTTGTTCTTGCCTTTTTGAAATATATCTATACCTAGTTATCTGTGTGTATACATAGTATGTATTTATACACATAGATTTATGTATTCTTCTGTCCCCTTTCTTTCTCTCTTCTATTTATCTCTCTCCCCCACCCCTTTCTGTCTCTCCAGTTGGCAGTCCTTTCTTGTGGATTGAGCAAAGGGTTAAATAATTTCCTCCAGTTTAACAGGAGTGCTTGACCCAAGTCAGTCATTATATACTATACATATGTATACGTGTGTGTGCGTGCGCGCGTTTATTTAAATTTGTACACGAAAAGCACATACAGCTGTTCAGTGTTTTGTTTTGTTTTTTTTTTAAGATGAAAGTGCAGTGTACCTTTTAAATCTGAAGGCTTTAAACAATAAATCAAAATGTAAATCACATGACCCATGTTAGATATTTTAAAAACTGGTCAGCAATCTGAAAGGTTGCCTTTAATTCTAAGCATTTTCTTTTATTGCTGTTGTTGTTACATCTTAACTCAAATACTTATTTGGTAAAATTCAAGTACATGCTCCACAGATTACATGCAGGTGTATTTTGTATGGTAACCTTTGGCCCATTACATGAGTTTAAACGGTTATTACCTTTTAAAAAGTTATATATCCGTGATTTGTGTGAATGTGTTTTAAGTTCCTGGAAGAACACACTACTTTTATATTAGAAGTGTAAGTTTTAAAAATGGCATTGTTGTTCATTTAAGAATGGCATATACAAGTTCTTTGGGATTTTTAAATTACCATCACTGTTGATATATAGGGAGCTCTTGTGGCTTAATGGTAAGAAGTTGGACTGCCAATCCTAAGGCAGGCAGTTCAAATCCACCAACTGCTCCCTGGAAGAGAGAGAGGGGCAGTCTCCTCCCATGAGATTTAAAGCCTCAGAAAACCTGCTGGAGGGTCAACTATGAGTCAGTTCTTACTCAGTGGTACATAACAACAACATTGATGTATAGCTATGATCAAAATGTTTCATGTCTCTGTCCCTTATTCCCCCAGGTTTCCCCTACAAAGAGGTCTTAACAAATAGCAGCTTAAATCTATTGATGCCTTTTGTGGTGTTGTATGTCCTTGTTTACGGTATGTTACTAAGGTAGGTTTCATTCAGTGGACCTTCAGATTTTGCATGTCAATGGTATTTTACCATATTAGATTCTGCCATCTATATTAGCTTCCAGGTGGGTGTGAATAATAGTCAACCTTAGCCACAGGATCCTTTTCATGATTTACTATTGCAAAGTGTTTTAAACTTTATAGTAGTGCAAAAATGGTTGGTTTAGCACCAAAATTATCATACATACTTTATTTTGGATGTACTTTGGTAGTTTGAAAGCCATGGAGGAAAACAGTATATGAAGCCACTCTATAAGGAGAGGCTCAGACCTGAGATTTGATTTTGTCTGCGTAGTATGCAGAAAGCCAACCATGCCAGTTGCCGTTGGGCACCAGAATTTTTGGATTAGAGGGCAAAGGAAACTCTTTGATGTGGCTGTTGTTGATGTTAAGAGTTTGGGTAGTTTAAAGTTCTCTACACATGTTTTGACTCCCATTTTAGCCTTCAAGTGTGAGTGTTTGGTCATGCTATTGGATGGTAACATATGCCATTCATTGTGACAGGCACAATGGGCTCAGTTTTCCACACTTGGCAATCAAAGGCAAGCTTGTCAGTGCAGTATGAAAGTTAAATACCTGGATCATACATGTTTTCTGAGTGTTTGAACAGGTTTCAGTCCGTAGATCTGGAGTATGTGTTCCTTCTATTTTTCAGTTAAGTCTGCATGTGTATCTCAAGGCTGAGCCTGGCTCTGTGAGTCCAGTGTGATAATATGCAGCACACCAGTGTGTGTATCCAGTACACACAGTTTGTGCATTATATGATACAATGAAAATAAAGTTAATTTTAAAGTATAATGAAGGTTGGGTCAACTGAAACATTTTTAATATTACCTAATGACTTGCATTGTGGATTTTCTGCAAGCAACTTTTAATTCACCAAGTGATTTGTTAATTTGTAGGCAAATACAGTTTCTTTTTCAATAAATATTTCATAGTTTTTAGGGATGAGGAAAGAGGAAGGATTTTTGTTTTGTTTTCTGATGGCTTAAATCACGTTCATGGATGCAATAGCCTCTTCAGCTGTTATGTCTTTGGATTCATTTTAGGCTAACATTTCAGAACTGCATGTATTGCTTGCATTTTCCTAGGATCTAAATAAGAATTCCTTGTTCTGGGAATTCAACATTAATTTCCAAAATTATCATGGGAGTTGTGATGATTCAAAGCATAAAGCTGTGTGTAAAATTTATTGGCCTTTCTCATTTACCTGCTCTGTGTGTGTGTGTGAGTGTGTGTGTGTGAGAGAGAGAAAGAGATCAAGCTGCCATGTAAATTTTCAAAGAAGAATCTTAAAAGCAGACCATCCTTTTTTGCATGCTCTATTCTAAGTAGAATGTTCAATGTAACTAGCTGAAATGCATGTTAACGGTATCTAGGTTTTTTGTTTTCTTTGTTTTTGTTTTCCCTTTTTTTTGTATATTTGCTTACTGTGCTGTTTTAGTGGTTGTTGGATTAAAAATGCACTGGTGAAGCAAATGTGCCAACAGAAGGTAATTTTTCACTTGTATATGTCTTGCAGCATTTGAAGGGACTATATATTCTTTTTTAAAAAAACAACAACACATGCCCAAACCAAACAAAACAAAAAAACCCAACAGTAACTTCTAAAAAAACAAATACAATTTTTTTTTTAATGTGCCAAACTCCAAAGTGCACTGAACTTGAATTTTTTAAAGCTGTGGACCCATTAGAGGACTGTTAGGACTGTCAAAAAGTAGTGCCTAAAAGTCTTTACGGTGATTGTATTTTACAGAAAGAGAAGTTCTCCAAAGACAAAACAATTAGTATAACTGAAAATAATTATGGTTGAAATGTTTGTGGTTCCTTGGAAATGCTGCCCTTTTTGTATTTTACATCATTAGTGCAGTTTAAATGAAAGTGTATAGTTCAGAGGTCTTTCGTGTTCACATTTTAAAATTAGGTAAATGACCTCATCTTTAGAGCTTGAATTAATTTTTAATTTTCATTTTATTTTATACAATGTGTATACAGTCCCCTGTTCTTTGCATTTAGAAGTATAAACAATACAAATCTGTTAATTCTGTAAGTAATTTTTATAATTATGATGTAACTCTATCCTATCCTCAAAGCATTTAAAATAAACCCTTTATGTGCAACTTCTGACTGTAAATTTTGTGCTCATGAGCAAATACATTATGAATTAAACCTCTTTATGAAATGTATGTTTTAAGGAAGATTAAATTGGAGGGGTTTTTTTTCCCCCCAGTATTTGTAAAAGTCAGATAGGAATAGAAATAAATAAAAATTTTATTAGTATCATTAAATGGTACTTTTGAAAGGGAAGTTAGGGCCATTAATCAGAATCTCCAATGTTTTAGTCTAAAATACAAGATTTTGTGATTTGATATTATATTTTAAACTCATCATAAAAACTTTGAATTCAGAATGACTTAAAGTATAATTAAATACAGTGAAGTGCGTGAGAAGTGAGACTCTATAAGCCGGCCTTATTTTTCCTACTCGAAAGGTTTCCCTCCTGTGACACTTGGGTCTTTCATTCATTCATTAGCAGGAAGCACTTGAATTTTTCTTTCCAAGTGTTCTTCTGAGTTATTTAGGGTCTGTCTTCTGTAGACTGCTTCTTGGAGGCAAGGATTCTGAAGCTTTGTCTGACATACTTTGGACATGTTGCAAGGCAGGATCAGTTCTTGGAGAGGGGCATCATACTTGGGAGGGTGGAGGGACAGTGCAAGAGAGGAAGACCCTCAAAGAGATGGACTGATTAAGTGACTGGAATAGTGGGTGTAGTTTTATCAGAGACAGTAAGATTGGCACAGGTTAGAGCAGGGTTTAGGGCTGTTGTACATAGGGTCGTTAAGAGTTGCGGGCAACTCTATGGCACATAACATGTGTTTGTAACTTTCAGTGTTGCCTTTCTCCATTTTCCCAATAGTAAGGATACCTGAAAGTAATACTAAGACCTGTGTGTTCTATATTTTCTTTTGGTAATTTTAATCATTGATATTAAAACTAGAGTATTATTGAAACATTTTTGTTGCTGTTCCCTTCCTGAGTTGGACCTAAGAAATCATTGTTAAGGCTAGGTTTTATGAGAATGATGTCTTGAATGGAGATAAACTCAGGAAACCTGAATTCTTATCTCATTATGCATGTTGTGGTTCTGTGAAGCAAACATATTCCTGGCTTTATTAGACTTCTGTAGTTCTGGGTATGAAATAAACAACTAGATTCTTGTTAAACAAAAACATAGACATTTAACTTAGTCTAGATTTTGTAATATTCTTTGCTGATTGTAAATTATTCATTATCTGCTTGTGCTGTGGAAGATGATAAAACCCCACTCTCACCCAGTCAGTAAAGTTTCTATGAATCTTATGAGAGGAGACTGCTTATCCTTCTCTCTCAAAGTGTGTGGTGAACTCAGACCACTGAGCTGACTTGTGGTGGTGGTGGTGGTTGTTGATTGCTGTTAAGTCAAGCATGACTCAGCAATCCTATGAACAAAAGACCTGAAACTTTTCTATAATTACCATCATTTGTCTGCATTTCATAATTTCCAGAAGCATGTGGTTTAGGAAGTGGATGCCACTCCTGCTTCCAAACCTGTCTTAAACTGGGAGCTCCACCAAACGCTGTCCACCATGGGCGGCCATTATGGCATTTGACCCCCTAATGGCACAAGGTTCAGCTTCACAGCAAACCCATATTCCCTCAGTACAGCAAATTGACAGAAAGTGCTGTGCAACTTAGAAGTATGTTCCTCCAAAATATAATAACACAAGGCCCCTTGGGCCAGCCAACTTTTAAATATAAGGGCCCTCTGGGAGGTCTTGATGCTAAACATGAGGCTTAAATAAAAACCAGCCAAACATCACACATGACCTTTAACCAAAACAAGAGTGATCAACTTACAGAGTCTAGCAGCAGTCACCTAGTCTCCAAAATGGAGACAAGGCCTTGGCTTT